TCTAGATCTTAAGTTCAAATTCTCTCCCCGACTTATAAATGAACCATGATTGTCAAAAGATATCCAGATGCTTGTACCATTTTTTTTTTTGGGAAACCTCGATGGTACGAGGGTAATTTTATTGATAACGAAAAATCAAGTTACACCTAGTCAGGGGGCATAAACCTTACCCCTCAAAAAATAGAGACAACAAAAAGGAATACACTAGAAAAAATGGGGGGCATAAACCTTACCTTCTAGAAACAAAAAACAAGAATGATGCAAAGGACAGATGCTTGTACCATAAATGGCACCTTTCGGTCGAAAATGCTGTGCAAGTTTCCATGCCCTTTAGTCCCAGCAGCAACAATTTGCTAGTTTTTGTGATGGTTCCGTTTTGAGCAATGGATTTGATGGATACATAACAAAACACAATAGGTATAGCCCATATACCCTTGTATCTTATAGTGGTGGTAAGCAGTGGCAACCACTTCTTTATGTGACTTGCTAGTTGCTACACAAGCCAAAACCGTGTCTTTAACTTTACGTGGAAGCTCCAAAGACGAGAAGAGCGTGCTAAGGTTAGCCATGCGCTGGTATGCTGATTTCACAGGCGAGGGTGATTGACCGTGGCATTCTCCAACTCAAGAAGTGCATGTAACAAGCTAAAGTTTCCGAACAATACCACATCACTTAATAGGATAATCCATATATCAGTGAGAAATTTTACAACACATCGAACCCGTAAATGAAAGAACTGACAACTGAAGCATATACGTGCTAGCTAATAGCTATCACAGCCTTAAACGCAAGTAATGTACACAATCACATCTAAAAAGCATAATACCTGCATATTTTGCTGCACAGCTGAGAATTTTTGGTACGTACATCCAATGGGATCATTTGCATGCTTAACAAGTGTTGCATAAAACTACAGTATGATAGCCATATCCCATCTAAGGATCATCGTCATAGGGTGCATCTGCAGTTCGTGAAGAAGAAAGAATGAAAACAGGCCTTCCATTACAGTGGGCGTCAGCAAGCATAGAGGCATAACCTGATTGATCATCGATCCCAAATATTTCCCCTCAAGTCCAGACACTCAAGATTGACAAAGTTAGTCAGCAACAGGCTCAACACAGGCATATAAATTATTTTACTTCCTACTAACTAAGATTTTGCATGAACACTTCACTTTGATTTATTCACTAACAGTATTGAACCAAAAGAGAGACAAGCAGAGAAGGTCCAAGGTCAACGATTTAACTCAAAATGGAACCATGATAACCTAATATTTGACAGCTTAAATTATTTGGTAATGCTAATATAGATGACGAAGCGACTGGCGGCAGCAGAGAAAAGTTAATGATCCAAATGGCATCAGCTACTTGAAAAAAAATTGATACAGTAAATAAATACTTAGAAGCTTTAATGACAGAGAATATGATGGTCGAGGAGTTTAAACGCATAAGATTGTCTGCAACATTGACTGTAACAAGTTATGGAGCCCTTGATATGAGGTTTGCCAAAAACTTTGCAGCTTCAATCCTTCATGGTTTTTGCTACACATAATTTAAAAATAAGATCAATCTCCTGGAATCAGCCACAATAATCTTATATATAAATAAAAAGTATCTATCAATTTGAACCTTCGTTATGTCATCTTGTAGTTCCTGAAAACCAGATGAACCCAATCCAATGCCTTGAACATAGAATACTTGAATTGATGCAGACAAGATTTTTCCCGAAGCTGGAGCTACTTGGCTGTAAAAGAGTGAGTATCGACACAGTAGGTATTGAGAAAGAAACATAAGTAATGACATGTAATGTCTATGGCATTGTCAACCAGACAACCCTGCCGAGGTCGGGTCGTTATCAGCAACAGATAGAGGCTTCAATGGTCTTTTTAGGGTTGAAAGGGTATCTATGAGAAGAGTCACCCTATCACAGCAAAGTTCACAACTCTTCAACATTAAATCAGCAAAAGGAATGCACTTTTCGGATGCTTCGACAAAGTACGGAATTAGATATATCGATGATTTAGAATAATAAACCTTGTGGTTATAATGCTCAATGCATATGTGTAGACTGAAAATACAACCAACCTGATTTCATCATCCTCAATAGGATTTTCACTCATATCCAAGACCTCCAACTTAGGCATGTGAACAAGAGCGTACCTATGGCCATCAACATTGTGGTAGCAAAAAGCATTCGTCTTCAAGTGATGCATTTGTACCTACGAAACAAGTAAACACCTTTGATCCATTGGCCAACCCCACACCTCGTGGGCTTGCTTGACTTTTGCCATTGATCAAAGATGTCTATTTGTTGCAAGTACAATTTCGTTAAAACTGAAGATGACTGACTTTTGCTACCACAAATTGGTGTTCTCATTGAGAGGCCGATTTAACATCTCAAAAAAGGCACTCGCAATCGCTTTAAGAAAAACACCGATTTGTAGTAGCAAAATTCTGCCGTCTTCAGTCTTGATGAAATTGTACTTGAAAAACAAATAAACACCTTGGATCAACGACCAAAGTGATGCGCCCCATGATGTCTAAGTTTCTAGAGAGCTTAGGGCTTAACTTTGTAGCAAAAACTTATCAGAATTTAGTGGAGAATGATGTTTTTATAGGAGCTATGCCAACGGTATGTGTAGGGTTTACTTGACATGTGTTAGCATTCGATTGGATAAGGTGAGTCATCTGTATAATGGATGGAGAAACAATTTTCTCGAAGATATTATTTAAATAATATCTTGGGATTATCTTGTAATATTCTTCGCTTGATGATATTATCTTGTAATATTCTTGATTGAATATGGTATGTAACTTCTATTTGCATTGTAACCTTAATTTCCTTCATGAATCTTGAATTCATCATTTGATTTATAATGTGTGATGAATGATACATAATTTAAGCTACAATATATTAGATAAATGTACCAAAATAAGGTCTTGCCTTTAAAATGGGTTAGGAAAAAAAATCAAAATTTGGCCCAAAAAAGTGGTCCAAAACAAAATGGCAATTACCATTACCATATCTTGCTAACTGACTATTTGACATATCGAAATTCAGTATACCGAAAATTTGGTACGGTAATGATAATGAATTTTTGCCAAATCGAAAGTTTGGTAAGGTAATTGGTATTGGGATTTTGATATGTAACCGTACCGAACGCACCCCTACTTTTTGGTGTTAGTGCTTGGTTTTTTTTTTTCCTAAACCAAAATGACACCCATTTCGATATAATTTTTTACCTCAGGTCTAAAACGACGTCGCGCCTAAGTTTTTTTTCTTATTTTATTATTTTTCTTTAAAGAAGGCGCAAGTTGCAGCACCAACATTTTCCGGCAAATTCAGAGAACTAGAGGGGTGGTTCCTCAATCTTAGTGAAGATTTCCGACGATCGGAGATGCAGCCGCACCTCCTTGCACTTATGTAGCATGATGGTTTACCTACTAGGTATTATTCCATATTTTCAAATATCCCGTTGCTAAATATTATGCAACTATGTATTTGGTAACATCCTCTTGTAATACATGCAATAATCCGGATATGTTTTATATATAAAAAAAATAAATTGAACATTTGACTGATCACATACAAAAGCAACAACTTTTCTAGAGATATTGTAAGACATTTGGTCAAATTTCTACAACTTAATTATATATTGTAATTCCTATGATGCAATTAGAGCTTATCGGGAAGAAAATAATCAATTTAGATGGCCCTTTGTGGCTTCGGTGGCGACTAGATCATTCTACAGCTAATTATATACCACAATTCTAAAGTGGTAATAATGGTGCACACCACCTTATTGATTAGTTGAACTAGTTTAAATTTTGAGATATATGCAGTAAATAGATTAATTCAAACTCATCCAACAATAATAAACAAAGTGGTGATGTTGGTGTGCATCACCATCACATAATGACATCGAATAAAATCACTTAGAATGGTGAGCAAAAATATTTCATTTCTAGATCCTCAAGCTTCGCCTTCAGAAGGCATTTCGCCAACTCCCATAGCTTCCATTCCCATAAGACTTCCATGAGTACCAAACAAAACGATAGTTCATCGACTACCTTGAGTCATACGCAAACACTTTGAGATCAACCCAAAAGTTCAACTCTTGCGTTCAATCCCCAAAGTACGATGAGATTGTTGGAGAATAGGATTTCACACCAGATATATAACAAGATAATATACAACTAATACACGGGAGTTTTTATGCCTAATATCACCTAAATCTTTTATGATAAAACCCAACACCTAGCAATAAATGTTGAGACAATATCGAAATGTTGGTGGTAGACCATACTGGAAATTCTGGCATGGAAGTCTCTCTTGGCCTGCCATCGATGGTGGTTTGAAGCTTGGTAAGTGTTTGATAAAAGTACTTTTTGGCTGCCTAAAAACTAAAAACTAAAAACGAAATGATTATCAAACGAAACCCTAATTTTTTTTATTTTGAGGTTTAACCTTTAATGGGATTCTAATAAGTTTTGCTCTGTTTCTTTACAGGTTCATGTTATGCCTAGAGAAATCTTCAGAATATCCGCATTCGAATTGGCAGTTTTCTTGCTAAAATGGCTTCCAGTTTGGCTGACTGACAAGTTCCTCCAGAAGTTTTCGTGGCTGGATCGGCTGGTGCTCGGAAGCGTGAAGAGGCCATCCATGGGACTAACGGAGATGAAGAACATTGAAGGAAAAACCCCTGTTTTGGACATTGGCACAAATCTAGTCTACGTAACATGCATGCATCTTCATGTTTCTATTTGCAAGAGGAGTCCAAGAACCTTTATATTGTGTTTTGTATTATTCATATACGAGTTAATTTGTTATAATCTCTATGATTGATGAATATGTTTGTCAAATGTCCGTTTTGTCGATCAATAGACGAGAAAACATTAAAATTTGGGATGTCTTCTAATAGCATTGAAAAAAGAATTAACACTCGACGAAAAAGCTATTGGTAACAATTTGCTTCGCAATCGAATTGTTTGCCAAGCTATGAGACAATATGGCAATATGCATAAACATTGTGTACTTAATTAATTAATCTTTTATAATTAAGGCTCCATGTCGATTGATTTGACAAAGCCAGAACACATAAGCATTACATAATCATTACACAATAGCATAATCCAAGCAGGTAATTAACCACTATAAGAGGCTAACAAATAATAATTAGCTCATTGAGTCCAAAGCCATCATGGTGCTTAGGTTCATTGGGTTCATGTACTTGCTAGACCCGGACATAATCTGCTTCACAATTAGCCTGTTTGCTTTCTCAGTTGGATGGAAAGCATCCCAGAAAGCATAGAGATCCCTGTTTGGGCACAGGTTTGACGTTGGATTGCACTGTCCCAACCCATTAAAGCGTCCTTGCCCACAACATGCCACTTTTGATGTCACAAAACCTGTCAAAGTTGAAGCAAATACATTACTTTCAAAGCCTAACCAAATATTGATTAAAAGACTCCACTCGTTTGGCTGCCGAGACTGAACAAGATTGGAATTGAGGCCAAGCAGTTTTTTGTAAGTTATATTTTTACATGAACTAACTTGAAAGACACAATATGTTCTATGATTTAACAAGTTTGGTATCGACATTATAAATTTAATGAACAACAATCAAGACATTAGTCCGAACATAATTGCATAGTCGAGTTCAAACTAAGACATCGAACAAAGGGTTTCTAAGGGTTTTGGGGACAAACCAGATTTTTCGGGGTTGGAGATGAAGTCCATGTTCATATCAAATGCATTAGCAGTGATAAATACATTTGAACCGAGTTGCCTGTTGAGTCCTTGAATCATCTGGACGAGTTGTGGGTTGAAGATTGCTGCTGCATTTTGTAGTTCCGCGACGCACTCACCATTTCTACTCCTTTGGGCTAGCTCAGATGGAACACAGCCCAATGAGCCTGTACTAGTCACCAACACTCTTCGGGCTCCTAATTCATATAGTTTCTACATACAATTCACAGCATTGTAACAAAGATTTTTTGATACCACTATAGAAACTACATGTGGTGTAATTAGTTCGTTCATGTTATAGCATATGATAAGTAAGTAATGACACTAGATGGTTGTATTATAATACCACATTATCATTTCTTCAAGCTCACGAAATAATGTGACATATTTTGAGCGGCATATTGGATTGTTGATGTGGTGTATACCATAACCTATAACAATTCCGCCAACTTCCGTAATTTGACGAATTTCATACAAAAAGGCAACATAATTTGATGAATGTACTCAGATCCAAACAAATTACAAAGGTTAGTGATTTTCACGCTCTCGTTTCTCTTAGTGCACTTCACCTGTTCATTAATACTTCTTTGATTGTTCAACCAAACGCTAAAAGAAAAAGGAAAGAGTGAATGTGGAGAAAATAGAGTATTCAAATCACTTCCCTTACAAACTACAAGAACCAAATTCGTTGCAATTGAAAAATATATCAACGAAAGTGGAACTTTGTGAAAATTACAGGGACTGAAAATGCGTTCTAGCCGGAAATACATTACCAATAAAATTTTGCGGTACTCTGAGATGAGGTAAGTGGAGAAAGCAGGGACGGAGTACTGGCGTTGTCTTGGAGAGACAGGTTGGACGAAATAGTTGTTGACCCAGTCATTGCCTCCGAGAGTTATGAGCACAAGTGCACTGTTCACTAGCCGTGTTGCCTGTTCTGCTCCAACAAGTGCAGTCAGTCGTTGCTGGTATTGTTGGAACAATTCAAACTGCCTGAAGATCCTTATACTAGTAACCTGCAGTGGTAATTAAAAAGAACTCAAACACAATTAACTTTGCAGCTTAATTATTTGATAATCATGTTCGAATTCTTCATAGCAGAAGTGAAACGTATATAGGCAACAACAATGGTAGGGATAAGAAAAGTATGAAAAGTTTCAACTTTTTGTAGGAAGACACACTTGTTGTCCTCATACTACAACAATGAATGACACACAATGACACAATGACACAATGACAATGCATATAATAATGTGTGACATACATTATAGATTTAGTGGTGATTATGATTCTATGATTTAAGAAAAAAAGTAACCGTCATATTTAATGGCTATGACAGAAATGTCCAAAAAAGTTAATTTGGTTGATTTTCACCTGTTTATCTTTTTTATTTCACATAATTTCTCACTTAGTGAACTGATAAAGTAGAGCTAGCTAGCTAGAAGATAAAGTATAATTAATTATTGTGATAGTTTCGAACTCTTTCCTTATTAATAATAAATTTAGAAGAAAAAAATACTAATAAAGTAGAGTTAGCTAGCTAGAAGATAAAGTATAACTAATAATTTCCTCTTCTTAGGAAAGAAAAGAAAATCTATGATACCAAAAATTAGATTACTAAAAAAATGAAAATCTTGTGTAGTAGTGGCTTTATGGGTAGTTAGACCATCTCCAATGGTGACCTAAAACCTAAAAATATTTAGCCCAGAAAATTTAGGTTTTAGCCCAGAAACAGCTTTTCTACTCCAACCCTTCTGGCCTAAAATTTTAGCCCCAGATTATCAAAAAAATAAATTAAGGCTATTTTTAAAATTAAAAAAAAATTATCTAGACTATCCTAAATTAATTTTATGAATATTTTAACCTAAAAATATTTAAGTTCCGATAAATTTTGAAAAATCACTAATCAATACATGAAAATCATGATAAACCACATAAACTTAATACATAGGTATTTATAGAGTTTTGTGTGGAAATGAGAAGAAATGGTAGAAAGAAAATTTGGAAGAATTGTAGGAGAAAGGTGAGTTTTGTGTGGATGTTTGAACAATTACATAGGTATTTATAGAGTTTTTGGTTGAATGTTAAGTTAAATAATTTTTTTAAATTATTTTACTTGTTGGATTTAAATTTGGACCGTTAGATTTGATTATATTTGATCTGAGCCATTTGATTGAATAAATATATAAATATAAAACTAAAAAAAAATCATTTGAACCTGGGCCGTTGGATTAACCAACGGCCATTTAAACGTGGTCGTTGGATGATAAAAAGTAGCCGTTGGGCTACTTGCCGTCTGACACACGGGGGAACACTCCCACGTGGGCTTGTTCTTCTTTGCAGCCGGGCCTAGCGCGTGTGCGCGTAGGCGATTGGAGTTTGGGAAGTGGGCTTCACAACCCTGGTTTCAGTCTCACTTGGTGGAGCCCATTGTGCTTTGTGGCCTAAAATTGGGCCGGAATTTGACCCCCATTTGAATTTTAGGTTTTAGGTTTATTTTAAGTCATGGGTTGGAGTGGATTTGGGAGGAGGAAAGGAAATTTTAAGTATTAGGCCACCATTGGAGATGGTCTTAAGGGACTTACAAATTGAACCCCAGTTTCATTGAGGATTCCGATTCCTGCAGAAGCAAAGTTGGCTCCAATAAGCAGCTTTTGTCCTGTGAGCTCGCTACTCAAATATGGCAATACGCGTTCAGATCCTATTTGCTCACCTAAGTATTACACATATAATTTATGTGTTACCATATGAAAGAGAAATGGGGGAACTGTAATTAAATTAAGCTAGTTAGATCGATGGTGATCATAGTACTGATAATGTCGGGGAAGTTTAAGCCATTGGAGAAGCTGCCGGTGGGTCGGTGGGTCGGAAAATCAATGCCGTAGGGAGGAGAGTCGGCGCTTGAGGGGGTTGCTAAGTAGTTGTTGTTGCCACTGTCGACGAGTGAGTCCCCAAACACAAAGAAAGCAGGTGCTGCTTCGGCGTCGGGTGCAATTGCAGCCATTGCCACTATCAGAGCGACAGCAGTAAAGACCCTGCAGATGGGAGTTCTACCTAACATATTGCTCTCTAGGTTAAATTCTCTTCGTTGAGACTAGGTTGGTATGAAATGTTATGGCTTCTGATCCGTTGCACGAGTTGTACTTATAGAGTTGTGAGGGCTAGATTTTGGAGGTTCATGATATGTGAATATTAGTTGTTTTGTTGTTAAGCCCATGGAAATAAATGAGCTACTTTTTTTAGTTAGATTGGAAATTTTCCAACCTCAGCTCACTCCTACCCATCACACTGCACACTCTCATCATTAGGCTAGCTAATCCCAATATGGATATGACAAATTATGGATACACTATAATACTTTTCTTTGTGAAATTAATCACCAAAAAATACAATTGTAGTCTGTGATGAAAACCGAGCTGTATCAAGTATGTATTTCAGCTGTATTTTTATCTCACATCATGTGAATCGGAACATACGGGTCATGCAAACTTTTCTCCCTTAATTTTTAGGGTTGCATGTTCTGATTAACCGTTCACTTGTGTTTTCTTCGAATGGTGGGTGATTACTCTTTCCTTGGAGAGTCCAGAGAAACAAGAACGCTAGCTGCTTATAAATGTGCAACAACTGCTATTTTATACACAAAATAATGGAGAAAAAAAGGCTGGCCGTTGGGCAGATTGTAACCATGGCTTCCTTAGTACACTATTAGAAGTTCACGAGATTGCTTTTTCAAAATATATTAGAAGTTCACGACCCCTTGGCCGATTGTTGCGGCCGCTACTCTAGGCCGAAATATGTCCAAACATTATTGAGCTTGTAATTTCTCAGAAAACAAATCCATGCAGAGGAAATATCTGAGGGGATTTTTTCACTTTAACTTTTGTTAAGAGGATATAGCTGACATGGTAGGAAGAAGTCCTTTTCAAATGACAACGTAGTTTCACACTTTTTTGTGTTCTGGAACCTGGATACTTGGAATTTTCGGTCGATACAGTGTGCCAGTTTAAGGCTCCATGTGAGAAACATAAATGGGCAGGCTTGGAGTAGATGAAACCTCTCCAACCCCGTGGAGTAGAAGTGCGGCGCAGCTAGGGTTTTATTTATTTCAATAGCTAGGGTTTCCCCAAAAATATCTGTACGTCTCATATGTCCTTGTCTTTTTTGGTATATACGTACCTAAATTTTAATGAGAATTGTAAACGATCTGTGGAGTTTCTAGTATCCACGTACATTAATTGCTTTGTGCATGCATTGATGACATAAATGCTAGGATAGTCAGTTAAAAATTCATTTGCAGCAAAGTGTCAACCGCTGACGCTTCTTGAGATCTATTAGCGTCAGTTGCAGACAGTCATTTATACATTTATACACGCGAGTGTATTTTGTTAGCACAACTGATGTTACAACTTACAATAGAATCTTATACTAAGTCAGTGGCTCTACACTGTTGACGTATAAGGAGAGAATTGTAATAATTAATTAACATATAGCTCTGCTCTCCTTAATTTAGGTGTATGGACATCCATATATATGGAAGTCTAGCTTCCTAGGTCGATCAATATTGTTGCATGCATGCAGTCCTACCAAATGGCCTTAATGCGTTTTGCTTGCCTCCAAAAGTCGTACATATTATCGTGGTAAAACAAATTCTACATGTTTAGAGTACAATATTGTGGTTTAGCTACTTGTTCTTGCCAATTCAATATGGTACCACAGATTATACATGTTTAGAGTAAAATATTGTGGTTTAGCCACTTGTTCTTGCCAATTCAATATGGTGCTTAGTTTTTCTTGTTCGGCTTCGCCCCCGCCCTCCAACATGAACATGAAGTTGAATGTTCAAATGGTATTAGGAACAAGGGAAACCATAGTGGGCGTTGGGGAGTGAAAGGTGCAGTCGCACAAGACCTCAAATTTGAAGGGGCCCCCAAAATTTTATCATCTAATATTACTAATTAATGTCCTATATCTAGAAAAGTGTAGGACAAATATTTAATTAAATTCTTAAAAAGAACATATGTTTTATCTAAGAAATAAAAAAATGAGGCGCCTATATCATAACTCAACTGATTAAAATCATCCAAAAATCTTTGTTTCATGCTACTTATGGTCTAGTGATATTCCTCTTCACTTGTAAGTGTAAGTGAGACTTAGGTTCAATTCTTTAAACCACATTATTGCTAGCTCATTGTATGCTTTTGATTATTGAGTAAAAGTTATGTTTGTAGCTCTTTTTACTTATTATTAATGACATAGCAGAAGGCACACACTTTGTGTGTGTGAACAACCGCCCACCTCTTCCCACGTTCTCCTCAAGCGCAACCACTTCAATTCATTCAAACTATCTAAAAAAACCATTATGATTTCACTTACCTGTATAAAAAAATGATGGTGGGACAATTTCTCTTAATAAGTGCATATTTTTATCTTATGTTAATATTTTGATACAAAATTACCATTTTGCCCTCCTTACATAAATGTTGTGTATCAAAAGTGAGGGCAAAATAGAAAAAAAATGGGGATATGATTGTTATTTTGTCAAAAGGTACAAAATTACTATTTTGCCCTCATGTCAACATTATGTATTCAAAAGTGAGGGCAAAATTGAAAAAAAAGGGGTAAAAAGTTGACAAGGAGGGTTCTCTTAATAGAATAGACTTATAAACTTGTAATTAGTGAGTGCTAAAGTTTTTTTTGATTTAAGTAATAATTTTCTAGCTAGCATCAATATATTGTCCTATTTTTTAAAAAATACCTTAAGGAGGAGCCATGTTATGAATTTCGCACAAGGATTCCAAAATCTCAGAGACGGCCCTAAGGAAATTGAACATACTTCTAAATTCGATGCAGGTGTGGATGTTGTGGAGCCAAAAATAATCACAAGGCGACACGTGGATTTTTGGACAAAAGAGGACAAAAATACCCTTGAGGTGCAACGGGATTCCTACGCGTGAGCAGCGGGCAATCATCTCTCAGCCAAGTCAAAAGTGCCCAAAAATGGTAACAATTCAAAAACCATCTCATCAAATCCCTCTTATAAGGTAATTCCCAAAACCTACCTCATTCCATATATATTTACCTCTTTTTTATTTTATCTAATTAATTAAGTTATCATTACATAACCTCCCAAAACCTTCCAAAACCTCCCAAAACATTTCTTTTATTATGATAATTAGCCAATTAATATATTTATAACTAATTAATATATTAATTGGTAATTGAATCACCAAATAACACCCAAAAAAACACTTAAAGGCCGGCCACCTTTTCTCCAAAAGGGACCGGCCACACTCCCCTATAAAAGCCCTATTATCTTCTCCAAAAGAGGGTGGTCATTCTCTTGCTAAAATTCTCCAAAATTCTCAAACACGTTCTCTCTAAATTCTAACTTTGGCATCGGAGGTTCTTCGACCAAAGCCCTCCATTCATCGTGGGCGTGTGAGGCCCTTGGCCTTGACCTAAGGTGTAAATTGTTTTGTAGGTGCAATCTTGTCCAAGATCAAGGAGGAAGAAATTTGCATCCACATATGTTGTTTACCTCTTAAGCAACAAAAGTACAAAACCCTGGCTTCTCCTAAATCATATTAAGTAAACAGATTAAATCAAACTTCGACAAATTATGACAAAAATTATTCATGATCCACCCCATATATGAAGTGCCTTCATTTTTTTAATATTTATGTTAATTTTATTTTAATATTTTGGTTTACAACAAAAATAAGTTCTCTTGATTTATCTATAGTCAAACAAAGGCCACTAATTAAACAGTTAGCTTAGCTCACATTAATCCCAACTCATTTTTAGGCTATTAAATTCCTCTGTCGATATGTGTTGTATTATTACATTGTCTTGTTTTGTGCCACCAGAATAAGATGATAGCAAGATCTGATTGAACCAACCGGTCCAAATTAGTGTGTTTTGGAAAGATATTTTTTCACAAGAAAAATTTTAATTACTATTCACCATTTATTGTTCTTAAACATTCCTTCAAAATTTTCGCCATCCAAACTTAATAAATTAAACGAAAAAAGGAACAAATTAAATAGAGTGCGTAGAGGAAGAAGAAAAAGTGTTTTGAGTGGTATTCTAGTTTGAGTCAAGGCTGAGTCCAGCTTTAGATTTTTAAGACAAAAGAGATCCAGACCAATCTAATCAAGGCCCAATCGTTGGACCACATGTACTCCTTTTCTTCTTTATGAAGGGAAAAAAATTATTAGTTTTGGAAATTAATTGATTAGCATTTGTGTTTTGTGATGTGATCGATATCCGCCTGTCTTTCAACAGTGTAGTTTTATTGTGCCACCTTAATGGCATGTTTACGTGTTCGTAATCGGAATCAAAAGTCGGAGTGTGATTCCGATTACAGGTTATTCTTGTGTTTACTAAAATTTGGAGGAATCAAAATGAGTGGGGCCCACACGAAAAATGGATAGGATTCCTGTTTTTGGAAGAATTGTATTCTGGAGGTGGGAGGTGTCATTTGAATTTCGGGAGACAAGCGGAATCTGGAATACAACTTTTCTACCTATTATAACCCTAACTAATTCCTAAAACTCCAATCTGCCAGTGAAACCAACAAGCCTAGACCTCTCCGCCTGCCTCCCTTTCACCTCCCTCTACATTTACACCCCAATCAACCAATCCGAACCGTCTTCAGATATCGTAAAGCTGGTTCTTCTATAGTTGTGGCGTCGTGGTCGTGTGGGGATGGAGGAGCGGGAGACAGACGGAGCCGTAGGAAATGATAATGAAGGATGCACAGAAAATAAAATAGGGGATGGAGGGAGAGGGTGGTGGCGATGGCGGTGCCGGTTGGGGAGGACTGACAAATGATACTGGGAGAAGAGTTTGAAAAGGTCGAAAAGTTGGGCTGCTTGGGAAGTTATGGGGGGTGGGTATAAAAATTAGGTTTAAAAAGGGTTAACAATTTAGTTTATAAAGATCAAAGAGAAAATTCAATTATTTATGGGTTAATGTTGTTATGAAAATTAAATTTTATTAATTATCACATAAAATCACTCATTTAGACCAAGGGCAGTTTAGTAATCAAATGGTTTCGATTCCGATTCAGAAGTGAATTGGTAAACAATTTATATGGAACTGACATCATTCCTACTCCGTTTCCCGAC